TACCTCTGGTGCAAATTACTGACCTCTGTCATCATTTTAAGTGGGGGAACTTGCACAATCGGTGGCTGACTAAATACTTTTTTGCCCCACTGTATGTTATAACTTTGTTTAATCTCTTCAACATGTTGACCAATTTCTTTTCTTTTCTTTTCTTTTTTCTTTTTTTTATTTTTGTGTAATCTTCCTGACAGACACCAGTATTCAAATAAAAGTGGGAGCAAGACTACAGAACTATAACAGATTCTTGCAGTCATAGCATAGCGATTGCTGTTTATGAACTCCTAATTAAAACACATGAGAACAAAGAAGCTACATAATGTGAAATGTAAAGCTGTATGTTACATTCACACATACATATATATTTACTCACCCTAAGGAAAGTTGTTTAAAATACTAAGATAGTTGCCATTTTTTTCCCCCAAAATCTGACACCGTCAGGATGAAGCATGAAGATTTGTTGTGTAACTGCAGAAAATGTTTCAGTGTTCGGTGTAAAATAAATAATAACAGAAATAATCCTGTTACCTTCATTACAAGTTAACTGGATTATAAAATGAAAACAGTTACTGATTATAATCCCTAACAAAAAGATATCCAAAGTCAACTCAACAAGCTATGGGATTTGAGTTTTAAACCACACTCATTAAAGACTCCGCACACCCACACAGGTGTTGTCACTTAAAGCTGCACAGGCGTGGGCCAGGTTAGTGGAATTTATGTGATCGATCACACACACACACACACGCGCACACACACACACACAGAGCTATATTAATGAAATATACAAAGGCTGTTTTTCTTTTTAACAAAACTGGAAGCGTGAGAGATCAGTGGAAAGTTCAACTGTTACCTGTAAAACTGGTAACACTTGAACCTCTGGAGACAATACATAGGCTAAAAATAACATAGCATGTGGTTAGGGTACCTGTTCTGATCACTGTAAATTTGGTTATATTTAACATTGTTAGTATGTATATGTGCTTCGTTCTAGGGGTGGGCGATATAAACGATATACGATAGAAACGATATAAATTTGGCCAACGATAGAGATCGCTCTATCGTGATAGCGCCTGTTTTGGTCGAAAGCATCGCAGCGGCTACAACCATTATCATCTGCAAATTATGCCGGGGGACAGTAATAGCAAAGAGATGAAGCACGTTTGAAATATGGGGAAAGCCAAAAACTGCGCTTCCTCCACTTCCGTAACATTGATTAATGTTGAATTCGCTCCAGCTGCTCTATTCCCATGTTGTTGCAGTATATTAATAACTAACCTTGTATGGTGGATGAATAATCTTAGTTGTTCTCCTGACTAAAGTCTGGCCCGTGTATAGCATCCTGCTATGCGATTGCATTTGTTCATACAGAATCCCTCACGTTAACTTTTATCGAGTGGGAAAAAAGTTGGCGTTCAGCCTCCAGCTTCACTGTGCTAATGTTATGCTAACATAGCTGTGTCGCTAGCAATCACGTAGCACAACATTATATACCAGGTAGTCCAATTTCAGTAACCCTGCAAACACCACTGCTGTTTAGTTTTCTGTCTTCATTTATGTTGGAAGTGGCAGCAGAGCTGTACGTTTTAATTAGTTTCAGAAATCTCAGTCAGAACATGGTGTGTCATGTTTAGGTGGAAACTAGCGACCTAACTTCCTGTTAACTTCTAACTCCGTTATATTTAATAAATTCTGTTTTCATGGAAAACTACGGCAGCCGTAATGCTCTTGACAATCCATCAAGCAGTGCGGCTTACCAAAGTTGTACTAAAACATTTTTAACAGATTTCTGCACGCCCAAATCGGTTCGTGGTCAGTAAGCACAACCAGAATTCATACATAAGGCACACTCGCGATTTTTGAGAAAATTAAAGGATTTTAAGTGTGCCTTATAGTGTGTAAAATACATTATACAGAAGAAAAGAATATATCGCTGTATATATCGTTACCGCACGTGCTTCAAATTATATCGCGATATGGATTTTAGGCTATATTGCCCAGCCCTACTTCATTCTTACATCCCTTTGTTCTATCAAATCATTCAAATAGTGTGACAGCATTGGTAGGACTGCGTGTGTGTGTGCACACAGTACATACAGCAGTAGAGTAGACAGTAAAAAATATCTTAATAAGGTAAAAACCCATCTGAAATCATAGTGAAGTTTAACCTTCAGCTGGGACTTCCAAGAGCAAACTGATATGGCTGATATCACAGTCACCACATCCAACTTCCACAATCCAACTTATTATTTATTTTTTATTTTTTACGACATATGGTTCAGATACCCATAAACTGTATAAAAGGTGGACATAGCTTCTGGGTCTGTGGAAATATCCTATACTGTAATTCTTTTTAATGGGCACTAGAGGTCGATACCTGTGTGCCTCTCATTGCTGTAGAAATGCGGTTGTTAAGTCTGACGTCACTAGCCGTGTCTGGGTCTAAACTCCGCTGCAGGTCCATATATCAAACGATCACTATGGCATTACTGGGAGTTGAAAAGCTGTCTAAAGTCTTCCATCTTTAATAAAATGATCAGCGTTCTGCTCTACCAGGTGTAACAATTGAGTTTAACATCCAGGCATCCATGAAAACAGAATTTATGACATTTAACATTAGAAGTTAGCAGGAAGTTAGCTCGCTAGCTTCTATTTAAATACAACATAGCATGTCCTGACTGCGGGGTTTTGGAAACAAATTAAAACGTACAGCTCTGTTATCACTTCCAACATAAATGAAGACAGAAAACTAAACAGCAGTGACGTTTGTAGGGTTACTGAAGTTTGGCTAGCTGGTATATAATGATGTGCTACGTGATCGCTAGCGACACAGCTATGTTAGTATAACATAAACAAGCTAACCTTTTTCCACTCGATAAAAGTTAACGTGAGTGTTCTCGGTGGTCAGGAACAAATGTAATCGCATGGCAGGATGCTGTAAAAGGACCAAACTTCAGCCAGGAGAACAACTGAGATAATCCATCCACAATACGAGGTTAGTCATTCATATACTGCTGCATGGGCTGGGCTGTAGTTACATCCTAAGGTTTTAAAAACTGAGCTTAAATAAATGATTAGCGGTAATAAAAGCTGAGGGAGGTCAACAGTGATCACTGACTGTTTTAGGAGCTTTTTGAGATTAAATAGAAGAAAATACAAGACATTAAATATGTTAACAACACAAAAGCCATATTAAACTCAGACTACTTTAGGCCCGGAAGTAGGATTCGTCACGTCATCGCTTAACAACGGATAGGAACGCAGCGCTCACCCCTAGCATTGGTCAACAGGTTGTTTTTTTTTTTTATAACTTTATGGGCCTAGTCACTAATTTTGGGTAATATTGAATAAAACATTAAGTCCACTTTGTAAATTTTAGTCATTCTAAGTGGCAGAAAGGAGGATTATCACAGTCAATAATTTCCTCTAACTGAACTGCGCATTTTAATTGAACCCTGTTGTAGATGATATTTCAGGGCTTCTGACCATCAGCGCTACATACTCTTTAATAAAAATTTGAATATGTGTGGTGCTCAGAGCATGAATCATATTGAATTTTAGTACTCTCACTCTCATTGTTACTCTCACATGTGCTCCAACACTGCCACCAGGCTAACATTTGTACATAATAAATAAGAAAATCTAATTTGGACGTTGAGTCAGTCTCCATACACTTCCATGTTAAAACGCCTGACAGCACTGGAAACAATACTTAGTCTTTGATAACTCATCTGCCTAGATGATAAATACAGTTAGAGGTGTGGCTGCTGTGACTGACAGGTGTTTGGGACACGGGTAGGCGGAGCTAGGCCTCTTCTTCGCCTGTGGTTGTGCGTATCGGAGCAATTTTAATGGATTATTTGATTAATATTATGGGTTATTTTGTGTGTGAGAGACATGTTCGTGCTTCACTTTTACTTTAACTTTTATCAGTCTGTTACTCAGCACTAATTAGCTGACATGAGAATCTGTGCTCCTCACTTTACGAATGCAGCTTGCTAATACCAGATAGCTTAGCACTCCACCCTTTCCTGTAGTCGGGTCACTTGAGGATGCGATGTCACGTGGCTGTGTCCATCTTTTATTTGGTTTAGATGAAATGTGTCAGGACATTATTCAGTTTCCTTCAGCTTTATTCATAAAGCGTGAAATCACAGCAGTAACCTCAACGTGCTTCATAAAATAAACTCTTCAACCTTTCCCAACACTTTTAGTGATAGTGTTACAAGTTGACTGCAAAATAAATTTTCAAAAATGTCAGTTTTAAAAACTACCGATTTATTTATTTATTTTGAGGACCACCACAGAGAGCTCAGAAATTAGCTTCAGTAAAAAACAAACAAACAAAAAACGCTGATCCGTGTTAAAGTTCCCTACAGGGGGAGTGGGGCAGATGTGGGTGTGACAGCTGACAGTGCTGCTCTGTGACATGGAACACCGGGTGCAGCACGCTTACAACACCACACGCTCTTCTCTTTTCTTACTGTTCACAATAGATGATCACGGTTCCCGGCCCGAGCCTGGAACACTGCCGCTTCATACACAGATTTGGGTGAGTGTTGTGCTGGCCCGAACGACACACACACACAACACACACACACAAGTACGGAAGGAGTAGCAGTCAGCATGTCAGGGCTTTCTTTAACACACATGCTCCTCCCTTTCTGGGTACAGCAGTCTCAGCTGTTTCTGTCTGTACTCTGGGTCTGTCTCTCCTTACAGGTCATACATGAGCTGATCTGCAGCAGACCCACAGTACAGATTCCACCACGTATGATTAGTTGATTTTACTGCAGGGAGGTCCGTGTTCAGACTAAGGAGGGGTAGCTTTGACACACCTTGTGTAAACCTGTTCAATGAACATTGTGACTTTATCTGTCATTTCTTTACCTGTTTTGGGCCAAGATGTCATTTCACACACTACATTAGTCATGTAAAGACATTTTGAATTTGTTGTACAGCACAGCAGGAACTCTAGGAGTCTGTGAATAGGATGAGACAGGGAGCCCAAGAAAACAAGAACAGACTTTGTTATTGTATTCAGATTTGACTTATGGAAGAAAAATAGCAAAGTACTTCTACTGCGAGTCCCTAAAGAAAAATTGTCATCATGTACAATGGCATACATGATGTTAATGGGAAATTTTATTTCATCTATATTACTAGATGGGTTTTTTTTCTATAATATTACAAGGTGTGTATAGCTGTCTGCGTCTATAAGCTAACTTTGTGACAGACTGGCGACCTGTCCAAGGTGCACCCTGCCTCTCGCCCTATGACAGCTGTGATAGGCTCCAGCTCCCAGAATTGTAGAAATACAGAAACTTCTGATGATTAGGCCTAGCACGAGCTCAGCTTGCCCTGTCGGCCTTGCAGTACACTGAAATTGAAGATGATAGTGACAAACAGGCCTTTCTAGCAGATAGCAGTGTTTCCGTTTATTGGCAATAACAATAATTACTGTTGGTTGTTCAAAGCAAAGCTTGTTCTACAGCAGTCTGTGCTGTATTTCACACTTGGGACTCAAGGAAATAAGGACGTTTCTGTTATGCAGATTTCCTGGGAGGAGGGACGATGCTGCAGGAGTCGTCAGTAGACAGCAGTGGCTCCAGGTTCGCTCCTCTGGTGGTGCTGGAGCTGGCCTCAGACACCAAGGAGGAGGCCATTGCTTGGTTGCTGAGCAGGATAAGAGACCGGCAACAGAATGGAGGTGTGGAAGATCGTCTGCACCCCCCGAATCATCTTCCCTTGTTTGACGTGGTATTATTCATCCTGTAATTTCTTCCAGGTGCTGAGCTGCTGGTGGAGCAGTTGGGACCTGGAATCGGGGTGGAAGAGAAGGAAAACCCCAACATGTTTTTGGTGGGGGCCTCCATGCAGAGGCTGCTCTGTGGTGCAGAAGATCTGGGGCTCTTTAAGGAGTGTACTGACGGGTCTATGAGAGCCTTCACTTTTGCCAGCAAACACAACTTCAAAGATTTTAAAGGCAAGTCTACTGTTTAGTTTGTGAAAATGTATGCTTTAGACTAGCATCTTATTGTTATTGTTAACTTGCAGCCTTGCAGTTTAACACAGCCAGGCTTTCTTTATGTTAGCTGGTTTTCAGAAACCTTAAACAGTCAGTCAGAGGTAACTCGTATCACTACCATATTTGTCAGCCTCCTTGTTAAGTCAGCTCTGTGCAGAATTGCATAAATAAGGAGAATTTAATGCATCATTTGATTCTTCTTCAACACAAATCAATCTGATCACTGCCCCTGAGTCTCATCACCGCTCACATACTCTGTCTGAAATGAGTGGCGTCACTGTAACAGCCTGTGAAAACATGCCTTTGTGGTGAATGGCACTGTGTTTCTGTTCCATCTCTTCAGGGGATGGAGACGGCTTCCTCAGTATGGCTGAGTGTCAGTATGTTATCAAGCATGAGCTGGACACACTGCGAGCCAAAGAGGAGACTAATGTTCCAGGATACAGTCATGCCAAGCTCTACCCTGGGAAATCTATCAGTGAGTCTGTGTTCATGTCTCAATCTGTTTCAAATGAGCTTTGCAGTGATCAGTTTGCTGATGTTGTGTATTTCACTCACAGGAAGACAAAAGAAAATGGTCTCATCTAGTTCCTTCTTGCATGCATACATATTCTTTGTTGCTTATCCAGCTGAAGGTGGGCAGGGTGCATGCTGGACAGATTGCCGGTACTTCATAGCACTGCTGAATTTAACAGCTGAAATTCCAGGAAACTGTACTAAATTAGGATGTGCAGACATCTCAGAATAAAACTGGGAAACTGATCAACCTCAGAAGTAAAACCACACACAGGTGATGTGAGTAAAACATGGCAGTGTATTATCATACAGGGTTTTGAAGCTGTGGCCAATTTTATGCTTGTCCTCTTCCCCTAAACTGTTTTTCATTCTGTCGCTTACAGATAAACATTTTGATAATTGATCAGTCATTTCATTTGTATAGGAATACAGGTCCAGCTTCTCATCTTAGAGACTTGACTGTTTTCATTTTGATGTACAAAGAGAACACATTGTGTAAATCGTGGTTTAGTCGGGGCTAAATGATTTATCACTCCTCAACCTTAGTTAAGTATACACTCGGCATTTAATCATAAAACTATCAGAAAGACATTTGTTAGAACCTGTTTATAACAACATTAGCCACAGCAGAGTATGTTTTTATTAGCTGATACACAGATTAGATAATTTCACTCCTATTTTTTTCTCAGTTTCAGCTTGTGACAGATTTGACTGTTTGAGCCTCTCCTGCGGTTCATCCACACTTGCTTGCGGTTTGATTTAGAGATTCCTGTAGTAGTAACGGTAGCAGATTGTAGACTGAACACAGACTGTGTCCTCCTTCCACCCCGCTATCTCTGCAACCCCCTCCCTTTGTCTGTCTTCAGTATGGAAACAATAAATATGCAAATGCAGTAAAATAGTCCCAAAGTGAGATAAGGAACCAATGAACTTGCAGTGAAGATAGGGTGCCTCTATTCAACGCCTGTGTTTGACAAATCGTGTTAAAATAGAATGTAATTATTTTTTGACAAATGATGCACTCAAAAAATGGCAGATGAAATGATAGCGCTTTCATGTGCTCGTATTTAGCTGCTGCATATTGGACAATAGTAATTATTGCTATAGTCATTATTGTATTGTGTGGAATGGGCCGGCTCCCAGCTATTGTTAGCCTGCCCTTGTTTTACAAAATGAAATGCATGTTTATTTAGTTGGGAAAGTGAGTTCAGAAAAACTCAAGAGAAGGATGGAAATGCAGCCAGAAGGTTTTCATGTGGAATATCTTCCAAATAATTCACAAGTTTGAGTAAAAACTTCCTGTTTTATCATCACTGTACATGACTAAAGTGGGGGGTGAGACAGAAAGTAACATGCTCTTTTTTGTTGTTTTCTTTACTTGCATCTTAGTTCGCAGACTGCTCTCCAAAAGGATCTTAATCCAGATGTTTCCTCTGCATGAAAACGAAGAACTCAAAAGGCTTTCTTTTTCCTGGTATAAAAAAGTGAAGGTGTCACTTCAGCCTCTGGGTAAGTGCATCTTGTGCCATTATTTTTCATGGTCACTCTTGAATACATTGTGTGATTAAAACGAACAGTCCACGTTATGGAGTATGCACACTTGCAAAAGAGGTCTCTGTACATCTGCATTTCTAATATGTCCCCAGACTGTAATTGGAGCGATGCACTGTCAGTGCTCCTGATCACTACTGACTCTTTCATCTCTATCCCCAGACGACATCAGACACTACTATGGTGAGGGCCAGGCTCTCTACTTTGGCTTCCTGGAGTACTTCACCTTTGCGCTGGTGCCTATGGCCCTCATTGGGGTGCCTTACTATCTGTTTGACTGGGAGGACTATGACAAATATGTAGTCTTTGCTGTCTTCAACTTGATCTGGTGCACTGTTATCTTGGAGGTAAGAAGACATGAAACAGTATGCAGTATGATATCGTTCTACCTATTGATCTATTAATCTGTGATGGCTGCAGAATATAGTTTGGTGTGTGGAGGCACAATGCTCACCATCCTAAAAATATGATACACATAGAAATCGGGCAGTGATGTGTAAATATGCTCCAAAGCCTGCAGGTGGATGCTGGTGTGGTGGAGGGGTTAAAACGGGAGCGGTAGAAGTGAATCTTCAGCTCTTTGATGTAAAGGGATTGAATCTTTTCAAGCACTTCAGAAGTTTAACTGTGATGTGTGGTTTAACTTTTCATTCTTTTATACACTAAACAAGAGAGAAAATTCACCCTTTAATTGTAAAGGAAAATATTACCCTCTGCTGCTTGCAATGTAGTCTTAACTCCAAAAGTGTTTATTAAAATCGTAACAGAATTTTAAAATTCTTCAGCTGACTTGCTGAACCTTTGTGCCCACCAGTTATGGAAGCGACGCAGTGCCTCACTAGCCTACTACTGGGGCACACTGTGCAGAAAAAAGGCCTTTGAAGAACCTCGGCCTGGATTTCACGGCGTGCTTGGTCACAACCCTGTGACGGGACGTGCAGAGCCTATCTACCCCACCTCCAAGAGGCACCTGCGTGTCTACCTTGTGTCTCTGCCCTTCGTCCTGCTTTGCCTCTACCTGTCCCTCTACATCATGATGATCTACTTCCAGATGGAGGGGTGGGCTCTGTCCATCTATGATGAGAACCCCACATTCTGGACACACATTCTGCTATTCATCCCTAGTATCATCTATGCTGTGGTCATAGAGGCGATGAACCTCATCTACAGATATGCTGCCGAGTTCCTCACTGAATGGGGTAAGTCCACTTTTTCATTATTGTGCATTCACACCAAACCATGTTTCTTGCATTAATACAAGCTCTGGCTAGAGGGCTTGATTGCTGATGATATTACAAGAGAATCCAGAGCTGATGAGTTTTCACAATGCAGCGTGAAGCTAGGGTTTTCCTGTAATTCAAATGTTTTAATTCAACAGTCCCTTGATTTGCCTTTAAGTGTGCACCATTTTGTCTCATTGGGTAGACTTAAGGCCAAATAATTTTTTATTATACGCTCAAGACCCTACAATAATCGTGTGTGTGTGTGTGTGTGTGTGTGTGTGTGTGTGTGTGTGTGCGCGCACTGCAGGCAGCTGGCGACTCATCAGCAGTTAAAGATGCTCGCTTGCTCTCTGTCTGGTAAATCTACATACTGAAGCTTCATTCACTCTTTGAGCTCAGTGGGAAAACAGCCGTGTGTG